CTGGACACTTTTCTCAGGTTAGCGGAATAAGTGCCCAGTGTTTGGAGGCTGCTGGAATAATGACTGTCATTTTGATGCCTTCCTCGGAGCTGCCCTGATCTCACCAAGAGCCGGGGAGGGAAGAGCCGAGGGAGAGCTGCTGACTGCACCACACGGGGCTGAGAAAGGCAAAACATGCAAAGGCAGAACAAACATCCTTTGTGTGCTCCTGTTACTGGGCTCATTGTCAGAACCGGCACAAATGGGAGGGGAAACGTGCACCCAGCAAAGGGCTTTCCTTGCCCTCCCACCCCTGCGTGGAGCACAGGTTCTCATCCCAGCCCTGGAAGTGTCCCAGGCCAGGCTGGATAAATCCCAAGCTGGGATGTTGGGAGGTGTCCCCGCCCGTGGCACGAGTTGGAACAAGATGAGCTTTAAGGTCCCTTCCAATCCAAACCAGTCTGGGATCCCGTGGTTCTGTAAAGTCTCCCAAGGCTGGGCTGGCAGGAAGTTTTTCCACGGCATCCACCCTTCCCAGGCCATCCCTGCGTCTGCCTCAGGGATCCCCACGTGCTCCACGTGGCTGCTGTGCCTGTGCCACTGTGCCTGAACAACAACTCAGCAAGGAGCAGCTGGAATTGTGCAGAGGAGGGATGGGAACAGGGCATCACATCCCAGGGGAATGCCACCCAGCTGGGAGGGAGGGAGGGAGGGAGGGAGGAAGTGTTCTCACTCCTGATCCATCTCTGGGAAGCCGAGGCATTCCAAGAGGGTCAGAGCCGGACTGGGAGCCAGCCTTAGGCATTTGCCACGGGATCATTTGTCCTGCCAAGCCTCCTCCCGGCTGTGGATGTGCCAGGGGAGAGGACAGTGACCTCCTGGCTGCCACAGTCACGTTCCTGGCGCGCTGCATTTGTTGTAATCACGGAAGGCAGCGACACAGGAGGAAAAGAAATTGCAGAGTGAGGATGGACTGGCTCCCTGGGGATCCCAAGCTCCCTTTTCAATCATGCCCAGGGCAGTGGCTGCCCCTGGGAGGATGGTCTTGCTGTTTGCTACAGGGCTCCCGTGGATTAATAGGAATTGATTGTGCTCCTTTCCCTGCAGGATCTTGACCTGAGCTGTGGGAGGCAAATGTGCAGGGAGGAGAGCTCTGGCCTTGCTCTCTCCCCTCATCACTCACCTTTTGGGGAGAGGAATTCCTGCAAACTGCAGAGTGTGACCCCAGTCCCCACTGCAGGACTGATCCACTCGGGCTGTGCTCTGCATCTGTGCTGGGGACGTTGTTTGTCACCCCTGGGAGGGTTTCAGACCGGCAGCTGAGTGGCCAAGGAGATGTTCATTTGGTGGTCAGGGGCTGATATCCTTCCCTGCCCCTCCCTCCTTGCCCTGGGAGCATTCCCAGCTGCCCCAGAGAATTCAGCATCATCCCTGGTGTGTGTTTGAGCATTTTCCCTCTGGCTCCCCAGGACAGCCTCAGGTCACTCCCCATTTGCTCCCTTACACTTCTGAGGACCGAGTACGGCCCTGCAGAGGAAATTGGGAGTGGAGGAGGAATTCGGGTTGTGCTGAGTGAATCAGTGCCACCCAATAGCTGGAAGCAGGAGCTGTAACTGCTGAATAGGACTGTTCATTTTGCCTTGTAAACACAAGTGTTAATCTCTCTGGGGATTTAATTTTTAAAAAAAGAAAAAAAAAAAAAAGCTTTAAAAGAAGCAAACTATTCCCTCCACTCTTTCCGCTGGGAAATGGGGGCATGAGGCTGTTAAAATGCTAAGGAAAAAAAACAGAGCCCCTTAGCACTTGTGAAAAGCAATAAAGCAGTTAGTGCTCCACGGCTTTGCTTCCAAAGCCCTGCCCTGCCTCGTGCTGGAGGAGAAAGGGGACAGTTTCTCTCAGCTGTGATGCCTAAAATACCTGTCCCGTGAACTGCAGGGCGGGGAACCAGCAGGTTTTGTGGTCAGTCCCAGCCCGGATGCCTGCGGGAACAGTTCCCTGAGTGTGGTCACTGCCCTGAATGCAGCGCTTAAAGGATCGTTAACTTCTTGTCTTGATCCCGTGAGGAGCTTTCCTGATGGGATTCAGCTTTGGGCTCTTTGAAGTGTTTTAGCCAAGTATTTACTATCCGACTGTACTACAGTAAATGCAGATCACTCACCCTGCTGGCTTTAATCCCTGTTCCTTGGCCACATTCCAAGCCGGGTGATTTCATTTTCCGCCCGCTGATGCCTGAACTCGTTGCCGTTTTAAAACTGCTCCTTCCCTTCGTGCAGCGTCATGTTTGTGCACGTTGGGAACCATCAGCTCCCTCCATCCCTGGTGCCTCCCGGGGCAGGGGTTGCTGAGGTTCCTTGTGTGGTGGAAAAAACCCAAACCCAACAGGAGTTCTTCCTTTGAAATCCGTGCTGGGGGAGAGGGGCTGGGCTGGGCTGGAACCTCATGGCCACTGGGGGCCGGGGGGAATTCCTCTGGGGAGGGGTGGAGGGCTGAGGGCAGGAACAGCCCCATAAATTCCAGCTGACAAACGTTTTAATGTGAACTCCATCCGGAGAGGCCGAGTAGGTCCAGGTGTAGCTGGAAGAAACAGCCCCAGCCATGAGGATGAGGATGAGGATGAGGATGAGGATGAGGATGAGGAGCACGGAACAGGCAGGGGGCAGCTCTGGAATGGCAGGAGGGGCAGGGAGCCATCCCGGGGCTATTTTTACCCCCACCCCAGTTCCTCTCCGAGGAGGTTTATATTTAGCAGCCTGGAGCTGCTGGCATTCCTGCAGGAAGCAAAGGAAGGGGGGAAGGTTTGGGATTTGTGGAGCAGACATGAAAACGTGAGCACAGGAGCCCCTGTGCCGCTTCAGCAGGGTCAGGAGCGAAACCTGGCACTGGTTTTCCAGGTGGGTTTAGTTTCCTTGGGCACCTGCAACACTGGCAGCATTTCCACACACCAGCAGCGCTCTGGTTCAGACTCACTCGGGTCACAAGGTGAGGAGTCAGATTGAAGGCGTTATTTGGACCACGAGGAAGGCACCAGCATGGAGACTTTGTTAGTGCAGCATCACCAGTGCCACATCTTTATTGTCAAGGCACGTCTCTGTAGTGCTGAGGAAACATCTCAGTGTCTGGAGGCTGAAGTGGATGTGTCTGTCATCTTCCTGCCTCCCTTCCCACCCCCGGCAAACACCCCAGCCCTGATTCCAGGCAGGACTGAAAAAAAAAACAACCCTTCAGTTTTAAGGTGTTTGCAGCGTTAGAGGTGGGAGCTGAGTGGGGGTGGCTGATGCATGTGAGTGCCCAGGATCCAGGTGAATCCCCGGGGATTTTCAGGGGATTCACCCACTGCAGGGTGCCGTGCCTCACCGCAGAGCCTGGCAGGCACCCAAACGGGAGTGTTTATATTGCTGACGGATAATCTTTTAAGCTTTCAGATGCAGGCATGTCAGCCCGAGTGTTCCCGTTGTCCTGGCGACGGGATGCGCCGGCTCCCGGATGCGGTGTCTGATCGCATCAGCCTGGAATGCGATCACCGTTTGTTTGTTTGTGCTGATAAGCCTCGGAGGGGGCTGGGGGGGGAGCGGGGACAGCCAGGGAAGAGCAGGGACACCCAGGGGTAGGGGGCCAACCTGCTCCAGGGGCACAGGATGCCTGTGTTGGTGCAGGAAAGAGCCCCTCGCAGCGGGAAAGAACCTCTGCAGGTAGTTTTGGTGCCTGTTTGGTACCAAAGGTTGATTTACCCCTTCAAGATGCTCCCTGGGGTCGGTGGGTCAGAGCAACATTAAGGAGTGGAGAGCTGTTAATGGAAAATCCCCTGCCAGGCAGGTGAGAGAGTCGAGAGGATAAAGGATGGTGGAGGAGCATCCCTACACTCCTGGGTCTGGGGAGAGGGACAGACCCAAACCTCCTCAGGCCTGGGACTGGAAGGGACAGAGCTGTGGCTGGTTGGGAGTGAGATGTCCCATCCCTGGAAGTGTCCAAGGCCAGGTTGGACAGGCCTTGGAGCAACCTGGCCTAGTGGAAGGTGTCCCTGCCCAGGGCAGGGGGTGGAATGAGATGAGCTTTAAGGTCCCTTCCAACCCAAGCCATTCCATGATTCCATGACAGCAGGGAGCTGCCAGGACAGCAGGCTGGGTGCTGGGTCTGTGCTGGGCAGGAGGAACAGCACCAGAGTGCAGCAGGGCTGGTGCTGGAGCCCAAACCCTGCCCAGACAGCACTTCCAGCCTGATCCCATCCACGGCTGCTGAGCCAAAGCAGGAAAGGAAAGGCAAAGAAGTGTCCAGAGCGAGCTCCTGTGGCTGCTCAGACCCAGCACACTTTGCCATGTGCCCCTGGAGGGTTTTCTTCCTTTAAGGGTTTTATGGCTTTAATCAGATCTCCGGCTTAAGGCGACTCTAATGCCCATCAGGATGAGTCACTGGGGCTCACGAGGAAGCTGAGAGGTCAAAGCATCTCCCTGTGCTGTGACTCTGGGGGATCCCCCCAGCCCAGACTGGCTCCACTCAGCTCTTTGCTGCTGGCTCAGGAAGTCTTTTGTGCAAGGGCAAAGCAGAGACCAAACCACCAGGGGAGAGGGGCCTCCTTGAACAGGGAGGAGTGTGGGATTGAGTCTCTTCTATTTACTCTTCCTTGTATTTCTACCCTGCTCTTCCCCGTTCCAGGCATTCCCAGAGTTTCCAAGGATGCCATAAGGCACAGCCTGTGCTGGTGGTTGTGACTTGAGTGTGCACAGCCCTGTGCTGGGCTCAGAAAAGGAGCCCCCTGCACCTCTTGACAATCTCCAGCTCTTAAATAATGAGGAACCCAATTCCCCTGGTGGCCACGTGGCTCCTCCTCTGCTCTGACACAGCAGTGGTGCCTCGGAGATGGGGACGTCCCAGGGGACCCCTGCAGGTCCCCAGATGGGGGGAAATTTGGGTTGGGATGCTGCCAGAGCCCCAGACAGCAGGAGCTGTGGGGCTGGGGGGGGGGGAGAAGGAATCCTGTGTGTTGCCCAGTCCTCTCAGCCTGCTCTCCCTTCCCTGCAGGGTCTCAGCACGAGGGAAAATGAACAAGATGAAAAACTTCAAGAGGAGGTTTTCACTCTCGGTGCCACGGACAGAGACCATCGAGGAGTCGCTGACGGAGTTCACAGAGCAGTTCAACCAGCTCAACAACCAGAGGAATGAAGGTAAGGAACCCCCAGGCCCCTGAGGTGATGCTGGGGCTGGTCAGGAGCATCTGGGGTCAGTGCTGCCAGCAGGGCTCTCCTCTCCAGCCCCCAGGCCGTTCTCTGGGGGTGTGTGGAGAGTTCCTGCTCCTTCCTCCGTGTTGCTTTCCCCATCCATCCACCAGGATTATTAACACCTTGTCATTAAATGTGAAGAGAGATTTATACTTGCACGAGGAAAGTCTTATGGGAGGGAAAGGTATTTGCACAAAATGGGGAGGAATGACACATCTGTGGTTAGGGCTGAGAGTGGGAAAGCCCCAAAAGTGGGCTGTGAGCCCTCTCCAGGGCTACAGGCTGACGCTTGCCCCAAGCCAAGGGGGCTGTTCTCTCTCTCCTGGGCAGCACCCAGAGGTCACTGAACCATCCTGGACCCACAACCTTCCCCTGGGAGGCCGTTCTCAGGCTCCCAGGGAGGTTTAAGGGTTAACAGCTCCCTGAGCCCAACGGGCACATCCCTTGTGCAAACAGAGCAGCCCTGGGTGCAGGCTGGGGCAGGCTCTGGGGCCTGGGGGGGCAGAGCCAGGGAGGGGCAAGGCTGGAGGCACAGAGTGGGAACAGCTCAGCCCTGTGGCCGTGCTCGGGCAGGCAGAGCCTCTGATGGGCTTTGGGCACCGGCTGAATTTGGGCTCTGCCCATCCAGGGCTGAATTTGCTGCTGTGGGTGCGAGGCTGAGCCACTCCCGGCCACCCCCTCGTGCCACTGCTCCTCCTGTGCAACAGCCCAGCCCCTCCAGGCTCTGCTCAGCTCAGGTTCCAGCTCTGGTTCCCCTGCCAGAGCTCCCCCTGCCCGTGATGTTATTGGCACCAGGGGGAGGCACCAGCTCTGTGCCAACCTGCTCCGAAAGGAGAGATGCAGGGACCTAATTTAGAGCTGGCTCTCCTCGCTCCCGCAGCCCCCCAGACTCCTTTATCTCTCCACACAGCCAGGCTGCCCTGAGCAGCGTCCCTCCTCCTGCCCTGCTCCCACACACCTGCCCTCACACCCCAGCCAGGGCTATAATTAGACCTGAGCCCTTAATTAGATGTGCAGAAAGCTGTGGGGATAAAATGGGGCAAGGCTGAGGAAGCCCTGGGTGCTGAGAGCTGCTCCTGTTATTGCCCTCCTGGGGGAAGCTGCGCTCTGGCATTTGGGAGCCCCGGGCTCCTTTCTGTGCCCTGCAACCCAGAGAGGTGATTTCCCTGTTACTGTGCTTGGATGAAGAGTCAGTCACGGGTCTCTCTTTACCCCTGGATGGCAAACCAGTGCAAGCAGCATCTGCCAGTCCCTCCCTGGGCTTTTGGGCTTGCTCCTGAGGTAGCCCAGGAGAGAGTAAGAGCAAAGTCTGAGCAGAGCCTGGGGCCGGGACTGAGGGTGTTCCCAGCCCGTGGTTAGAGGCTGGGCCAGCACTGGACTGGGATGTGGTGTAGGAGATCCTCCTGCCTGGACCACAACTAGTCCATGATGAGGTGTGTTAGAGATTCTCCTGCCTGGACCCAGGAATGCATCAGGGGCTCTGGGGGCACAGGGCCAGCCCCCACTGACCTTCCCCATCATCCTGGCCCCCTCCCCAGCTTTCCCTCCTTGGTGCCCCCACCATTCCCTGGTTGCCCAGTTGCCAGTTTGGACCCCATCCCTCTCCCACACCACCCAGGCCCTGCCCCCCACCCCAAACCCGCTCCCTTCTGTGAGATCCCGTGATTAAGTTTCCCGTGGGGATTGTAAACAACCCGGAGGAGTCACCTCCACGGTGCCCTTAATCCCCTCTCCAGGTTGTTTGTGGAGGGCCCTGACAGCCACATTTGTCTGATAATGAACCCTCCTGGCTGGGAACTCATCACCCACATCCCTGTGCCAGGAGGCTCCTCAGGGGGCAGAACAGAAGGGGGTTGTGTACCAGGGTTTGTGGTCAGGTTTGGACCTCCTCGGAGCTGCCTTGGCAGATCAACACATCAGTTTTCCTTTCCTCACCTCGTGTAGCTCCTCAGGGAATTGCTGGCAGGTTTTATGTTCCCTGCAGCATCAGGAATCAGAATTCCCAGGTCATGGCACATCCCACACTGTGCTGGCTGTGAATGTCTCAGCCCAAGAATCACAGAATCCCAGACTGGTTTGGGTCGGAAGGGACTTTAAAGCTCATCTCATTCCAAGCCCCTGCCACGGGCAGGGACACCTTCCACCAGACCAGGTTGCTCAGGAGCATCTGCAGAGCTGCTCTGGCTCATGGAACAGGACAAAGCAGGACCTTCTCCTGGGGACAAACCTGCCCCTGTTGGGCGTGTGGTGAGAAATCCCCAGCCCTGTCCTCTCCATCCCGTAATTGTCATGACCTCACTCACAGAGGCCGATATAAAACGAGTTAAAAAACAGGCTGGAAAAGCAAACAGCTTTTGCCATCACAGGCAATGTCACCTTGGTGGAGCCACACAATGCAGACTCCCATTTTTTTCGGAGGTCTTGGTGTCTCTCATCTGCCCCAAAGAGGTGATAACGAGTGGGTGGGAGGAGGATGAACAATCCGAGGTCTGAGTGCAACAGAGCCTTGAGAGGAGAGTTCACACTTAGCAAAGCAATTAAGAGTCAGGCAAGCAGCGGAGGGTTCTGGCCCCTTTCCTTGGGAGATCAAAGCTTGTTTTGGCAGAGGCTGTGTTTAAATATATTTCTGGAAGGGCGGGAGGCTCGTCAGAGGCAGCCGCCGTGTCTGAGCTCTCGCTTTAATTTGCTTTGATATCCCAGGCAGCCTCATTATCTGCAGGGTGTCAGGGCCCTCACGTTTTCACGCCCACAGCTTCACATCTCCCCCCCTCTGTGAGCACCCAGGAGGGTCCTCCAAGCCTGGGGGCAGCCCCGGCCCTTGGGATTCCCTGTGGGAATCTCTGGATGCACCTTGGACAGCCCAGGGTGTGCTGGGCCGGTACATCCCCCTCCCCACTCTGGCCCCAGGGCAGCCCAAACACCTTTCCCCTCATCCCTGCAAGTCTCCCGAGTGTTTTACCTGCTTTTCCCAACCCCTTTGGATGCACTGGAATATTCCAGGTGACCGATTTACCTCTGACATCTAATGTTCGTGTAGATGAGGACATGGACACTGATCCAGGGGTTCAAAGAGACAGTGCTGCTGGTTTGCACCTTTCAGGACAGGCTGCACCTTTTCCCAAGCTTTGGGCACTTTTTTACCTATGGGAACCAGCACAAATTCACCCAGAACATCATTTGAGGTGGATTGGTTGGAGTCCACTCAGTCAGATTTTAAATGGCTTTTGGGTTTTGGGGGGTTTTTTGGCAGGTAAAGTGCTTAGGAAATGAGCAAGTCAAAAAGATTTGATCCAGTTTAATTGATCCACGTTACTTTCATACCTGTGGTTAATTCAGGATGTTTCCTAATTGTTCCTGTGCGATCAGATGGACGGGAAGGGACCAGAGGAGCAAAGAGGGGTGACTGTACCTTGTTTTTGATCTGTCTGCCCAAAACCTCCCGGCACTGTTTCAGATCCTCTCAAGCCCAGTGGCACGGGCTGAACTCACCCCTTAGGTGTGGGCTGCCCCTCGGGCTCCCTTCCCAGATCTCTTGCCTGCCACCTCTCATCCATCAGCCCAGCAAACCGCAGCCAGGTCCCAGCCCTGCCCAGCACCCCGTGCAAACCAGCCCTGCCCTCAGCCATGAGATCATCGCTGGCTCCGGAGCGCTCGGGCAGAGCAGCGATTGTGTCTGTGCAGCCCGGGGGGAGGGCTGGGCGATGGGCAGGGGCCAGCCCGGGGCAGCAGGAGATGGGAGGTGGTTCTTCTCCATCCCAGCACACCCGGTTTAGCGCTGCCTCCCCCTGAGCAGCCCCTTGGGAACAGAATCCATGTGAACCAGAGGAATCCACCTCACTGGGGTCCAGGTGACCACCAGTGTTTGGCTGGGTCTGTTCCTGCCAACCAGCTGCTAATTACAGAGCGAGGAGGTTTAGGTGCAAACCTCAAACTGGGGACCAGAAGGAGCTCAATGGCTGATTTTGTTCTGATTTCTGCCTCCTCTCAGGGTTTCTTGGGCTCAGAGAGGCTTCACACTTGGAGTCCCAAGAGAAGAGAGTAATTTTCCTGAGCTGCTCTGGTTTTCAAGAGAGCTCTTGTGCTCCTGGGGGCTGTGCCTGGCTCAGGGCAGCAGGTTGGGGCAGGAGGGCCTTGGAGTGGTTTGTTTTGCAATAAGTGACTCTGTAGCCTTTAATCCCAAACTCCTTCCAGGAAATGGTCGCATCCTTGGAGGAAAGTGCCCTGCTGCCTTTGGGTCAGGTGGTTCCCAGGGCAGATGAGATGTCTGTGTGTGCCTCCAGGGCTCTCTTTCTATTTTGCTTCTCTATTGACCCAGCCCAGAGGAATCCACTTCAGCCACCACTCCAGCAGCTCCCACTCCTGTCTTTGTTTGTCCTCAGACCTGGCCCAAGGGCACCTGCAGCTGGGACAGCTGGGCAGGGAATTCCGGGCCGACAGCAGCCCCCTGTCCCCTTCGGAGGTGGAAGGGCAGTCCCCGGTGGCCATGAGGTACCGCAGCAACAACCAGCGACGCTTCTCCATGGAGGCAAGTGCTGCTACAGGCTTGGGGAGGGGCAGGGGGGACGTGGGAACCTCTGGCTGTCACCTCCCTGCTGGCTGGAAGAGCCGGTGTTGGGTTCCTGGGGGCCTGGCAGTGTCAGGGTGCCCCTGGGTGCCCTCAGCATCGCTCCCGTGGTACCTGACCAAGCCATCCCCATGAGCACACACACACACACACACACACACACACACACACACACACACACCCCTTCCCTTTTCCTCTCACTGAGGATGCTGCTCCATCACTTCAACCATCCACACCAGCTCTGGCTGGAGTCCTCCTCTCATCGCCCACTCCTCTGTCCCTCTCTGCAGGACGTCAGCAAACGCCTCTCCCTGCCCATGGACATCCGCCTGCCCCCCGAGTTCCTGCAGAAGCTGCAGATGGAGAGCCCGGAGTTCCCCAAGCCCCTCAGCAGGATGTCCCGACGGGCTTCCCTGGTGAGGCTCCCTGTGCACCCAGGCTGTGTCAGGGGAAGGGGCAGCTTGGATATCAGGAGGAATTTCTCCATGGAAAGGGTGGTCAGGGATTGGAAGGGGCTGTCCAGGGAGGTGGTGGAGTCCCCACCCCTGGAGGTGTCCGAGGAATGACTGGATGTGGCACTCAGTGCTCTGGGCTGGGGGACAAGGTGGGGATCAGTCACTCAGTCTTGGAGTTCTTTCCCAACCCAGAGGACTCTGATCCTGAGATCTGCATCCCCTCCCCGTTCACACCTCAGTGCTGCTGTGCAGTTCCCCAGGCCTGCACATTCCTTCCCTCACCTGTGCACACACCTGACTGTCCCCTTGGCCTGGCTCCTTCCCCGTGGGAGGAGGTGGGAAACCCTCCTGCAGCCTGGCAAGTGCTGGAGCCTCTGCTGGTTGAAATGCAAATGTGGATAAATAATGAATTAGCCTTTGCATTAGTGCTGGCATTTCACTTTCTTTTGCTGCAGAGCAGCAGCATAAAGTGGGAGCAGAAACTCTGTGCCCTCTGCCCAGCTGTGCAGGGACCTGTCCTGCTGCTCAGGAGCGCCCAGTGCTGGACAGGTACCACAGCCAGGTCTCAGAGGGCATCTTTGGGCCCAACATGCCTGCTCAGGGGGAGGAGGAGGAGGACAGGAGAGCTTGCATTTACCTGCCTGTGCTGTCTAATCAATAAAATAGACACAGCCAGAGGGTTGTGTCATTAATATTCATGGTCCCCTCCATGAATAAGGAATGTGGCTCCAGGGGTTGTGCAGCACCTCCAGATTGCAGCAGCCACTTGGTTCCCCTGCTCAGGACATGGCCCCTCCCAGGGCACCCAGAGGGTTTGGGGAGTCGATGGAGTAAAACTCCCCCTGTTCCCCTGGGATCTGCTGGTTCAAATCCAACCTGAACGAGCAAGAAGGCAGCTTCCCAGGCTTGGGAGAGCTTGGTGGGCTGTCAGTGCCCACAGAGAGGGGCAGAGCTGGGGAGCTGGGGGGGGCAGCAGGAGCACCCCAGACCTGGGGCTGCTGGTTCTGCCTGGGCACAGGGTGGGGGGACCCCCTTCAGCACCTCCCCGGGGTCCCTTTCCCTGCCTGCTGAGTGACAGCTGTCCACCCAGCTCCATCTGCTGGTGAGCAGCATGGCACGAGCCCTTGGATCAGGGCTGGGGGAGTCTTGGGGTGGGCTGGAGGCAGAGCTGCTGGCCCAGGATTACAACAAGGGAAGCGTATTTTGGGGGAGAACGGCACCGTTTTATTAAAGCTTCAGGAACAATGGCTTGCCCCGTGCCTTGGAGCCTGTTCTGCTGGGAATCACCCCTTTCCCTGGCACACACATGATCCCAGCCCGCTGAGGAGGTGCCTCTGTCCCCACAGAAAGCTGCAGTTTCGGGGGCTCTGCTGGGAGTGACAGCTGAATCCGCGGATTTGCAGCTGCTCTTCCCACTGCTGGTGGTGTGTCAGGGTGGTGGGTGGGAGAAGGGGACGCAGGGGTGGCGGGGGAAGCCGGTGGATGCAGGTCCATCCATCCCACTTAAGCAGCCAGTCGGTTGGGAAGGTTTTCTGATGGATTGCCTGCTCCAGGAAATTAATGGACTCGACGTGCTTGGATCAGCTGGCAAACACCTGCCTTGACTGGTCTGCCCCAAAGCTGTCACTGCCCAGCATCCCTGACCTTATCCCTGGAGGTGGAGCCATCCCTGGATGAGACACCTCCACCGCCCCAGTGATGTTTTCTTCTCTCTCTTGCAGTCAGATATTGGGTTTGGGAAGCTGGAAACCTACGTTAAACTGGACAAACTGGGGGAGGTGAGTATCCTATGAAGCATCCTATTGATTCCCAGTAAGGAATTGACTGAAGTCCAAAGGGCAGCTTGAAATGCAAAGGGCAGATTTCTTTAATAAATCCCCAAATCCAATAAAGCCAAATTTCTTCAATATCCAGAAACGTTTAAGGCCAGGTCTCCCTGTGGAGTTCAGACCTGGCCCTGCCACTTCGAACAGTCCTTCCCCCAAATGTTTTGGAGATATCAGTGCTGTGCCAGCCTGGGAAATGGGCTGCAGGGCTTGTTCTCTGTCCCCCTCCCAGGGCACCTACGCCACCGTCTTCAAAGGACGCAGCAAACTGACAGAGAACCTGGTGGCCCTGAAGGAAATCCGGCTGGAGCACGAGGAAGGGGCTCCTTGCACGGCCATCCGGGAAGGTGAGGGCAAGGGGGGGGGGCTTTTCCCCATCCCAGGCAGATTTGGGACGGGTGGTGCAGGGGGTACCTGTGGCCAGCCCCAGGTCCTGCTGCCCCAACCTGTCCCCTGCCCCCCAAAACCTCGCAGTGTCGCTGCTGAAGAACCTGAAACACGCCAACATCGTGACCCTGCACGACATCATCCACACCGAGCGCTCCCTCACCCTCGTCTTCGAGTACCTGGTGGGTCTGGGGGGCCCTCTGGGAGTGGGGGGGACGGTGTCTTTCTGTGGGTGGGTGATGGGGGGGCCAGGGGAAGGACAGGCTGACCTGTGCTTCCCACTGCAGGACAACGACCTCAAGCAGTACCTGGATAACTGTGGGAACCTGATGAGTGTGCACAATGTGAAGGTAAAGGCCTGAACCCTTCCCTAGAGTGTGTCCCACCCCAGGCCAGCTCGGAGGGGTCTTTCCTGGCCAAGAGTTTGGGATGCCTCGAGGCAGGTTCGTTTTTAGGGCCCATGTCCCCCTGCTAAGTGCAGACCCCTTCTCCTCCCCGCAGATCTTCATGTTCCAGCTGCTGCGGGGTCTGGCTTATTGCCACGGGAGGAAGATCCTGCACCGAGACCTCAAACCCCAGAACCTGCTCATCAACGAGAGGGGGGAGCTCAAACTGGCTGATTTCGGTAGGTGAGCCCCTCCAGGGAAGATGCAGCATTGGAAGAGGGGGTGCAGCTCCTTGATGCCCGTCCCTTCCATCCTCAGGACTCGCCAGGGCCAAGTCAGTCCCTACGAAAACATATTCCAACGAGGTGGTCACGCTGTGGTACCGACCCCCTGACGTCCTGCTGGGATCCACGGAATATTCCACCCCCATCGACATGTGGTGAGTCCCAGCTCCAAAGCTGGAGCTCTCTGGGATTGGAGGGAGGGGTGGGATCAGGCATTTCCATCCGCATCCCCACAGTGTTGGCTATGCCAGAGGGTGGGGGGGCTCTCCCAGAGCTGTTTTCCATTTCCCTTGGGGGTCGAGGTGTTCAGGATGTGCTGTCCCCGTCGGGGTGAGCGGTGGATAGAAAGGAACAGAGCTCCTGGAGGTCATTTCCCTGCTCCAGGAGCCTCATCCCGCGGGGTTTGTTCCTCCCTAATCCCGGGGTGTCTCCCGCGCTCCAGGGGCGTCGGGTGCATCCACTACGAGATGGTGACGGGGCGGCCCATGTTCCCCGGCTCCACGGTGAAGGAGGAGCTGCACCTGATCTTCAGGCTGCTGGGTGAGGGCTGTGCTGTGCCCGCATCCCCACGCGAGGGCAGTGGCTGCCTGCGGGAGCGGCGGGAGCGGCGGCGGGAG